ATTCCGACGAACCGAATTTTCAGCGCGAACGATACACGGAAATGAACTTTACGCCGCGCCGGAATGGCGTTATTCCGCTTCCATTAAGTCAATCTTCGCCGTCACGCGGCGAAAGCCGGAAGCGTATGGAAATCTGTCTCGCACCGGAGCGCTCTCCAGGTTCCATCGAGTCCTTGCATTGGCCCTCCCCCCTCTCGCTCTCAAGCGCGCGCGTCGTTTGCATCGCGTACGCATATGTGTGCATATATTTTTATATCCCGTCTGATATATACGTCTTCGATCGCAGGTGCATCTTCCGCGCGTCGCAGGATATCACGTTCCCCGTACGCGATCGCGTGATGCAGTCGATGTGTGAACGCTTCGTCCTTTCTTCCTCGCGCCCCATTTATCCCGAGAAATCGCGACGACGCGGGAGATACTCGGCGCGCGACTCGCGCCTCGCGCCTCCGTGTGAGGCGCAAAGTCGAAGACGGAGAGCCGTTTGTACAGATAAGATTAGAAGATCGAAGGACGAGGAGCCGATCGAATCGAAGGTACATATTATGGCGGACGGGTCCGCCGGTGAGACTGAAAGTTCCGCCGAGGCTCCGATTGAGAACCGCTGAGCCTCGTTCGTCGCGTATGTGCCTCGTCCATTCTCTCCACGGCTATACGCCATTATCCCGTGCCGTGACAAAACGAAATAAGACACGTACGTAGTCACCTACCATCGCGGTTGAAAGCTGGAGCTTCTGACCTTCAAGGTTAACGGCTCGGCGAAAAATGTAACGACGCCGCTAAACGACGCGCGCTTTGGATGGTTTCATATTGGTGACCTCGCCTCTTCCTCTTCTTCTTCTTCTTCTTCTTCTTCTTCTTCCTCTGTCGCATCTACCCGCTACTTTTTTGTCGGTCAGTTAAAAGCGCGGTCGGAGATCTCGACCATAAGACCGTGGTCCGATGAAGGGCGATGAAGGGCATGGTGGAGTTTCGAGTGACGCGAGACAGTCGCGTATTGTCTTCGCTTCGGTAATAAAGGGTATCCCAAAATTCACGCAAGAAGTAATTTTGATAGAAAACACAGGTTTATGATTAAAAATTGTAAATTTTTTATTGATTCGTAAAGTATAGGGTTATGTATGGAATAGCATATCGGGTAAATGGCCTCCACGGCTTTGCTGGCACATATGCACTCTTTTGTTGAAATCTCCCATGCGTGGGTGGTCGTGGGCTTGTTGGCATGAACCTTAGACTTCAAAAAACCCCAAAGAAAAAAGTCCAACGGCGTTAAATCGCATGATCTGGACGGCCAAATCTGATCAGCAAAACGGGAAATTACACGACCAGGAAATGACTGATGCAGTAATTGAATTGTTTCTCGGGCTGTATGGCATGTGGCACCGTCTTGTTGAAACCACACGTCGTCCACATCCACATCTTGCAATTTAGGCACAGAAAACTGGTTTATCATGTCGCGATAGCGAGCACCATTAACTGTTATTGCCTGACCAGCCGCATTTTCTTCCGAAGAATGATCCGATGATGCCTCCAGCCCAAAATCCGCACCAAACAGTGACACGTTGTGGATGCATTTGTTTCTCAACAATCACTCGTGGATTTTCTGAACCCCTGAAGTGCGACAATTTTGTCGATTAACCAAACCATCAAGATGAAAATGAGCCTCATCGCTGAAGATGATTTTGTTCGAAAAATCAGCATCCACTTGTTGTTGTTCCATAATCCATTTCAACGAACTCTCTTCGCTGTGCGCGGTCAGTTTAAAAACCCTAAACTGTCAGCTGTCACGCTGTCTTTTCTTTTTCGTTGGCAACACTTTACCGCACAAATGGCGCAAAATTCGAATCTTGCGTGAATTTTGGGACACCCTTTGCATACAGAGGAAAGTTGGATAACGCGACGCGATAACGCGACGTGATAATTGAAGCGTGTGACAGGAAAACATCGATGACGATCTTGGACTCGAAATCTCGCCTGCACATTAATTTTGCAAATTCCGCGCGACTTGGAGCATCAGTACGGGGCTCGAGAATTTTCGAATGTTTCATCGACTAAATGAGCCAATTGGCAATCAAGACAGCAATCGACAGCTCGGGAAGGCTTCTTAAAGTCATCTTCCGCTAATCACGAACCGCCGCCGGTTTCCAAACAGCGACGAGCCGCTCGGTGGCTGTCGGAAATCGCACCACCTTTGAGGTGGTTTTCAATCTACTAAATTGTCAAATTAACGGGATACGCACACGACACACATCGAGTGTGACGATTATTATCTGCGAACGCGTACGACCATCAATCGTCATTAGCGCTGAGCTTTCAATCGACTCGTATCTTTTTGTGCAGGTTGAGCGCATGTCCACGACGACGACGATGACGACGACGATGACCAAGAGTTGACTCCTGGAGTACAGGTCGCAGGATGCAGCGACGGCGAGACTTTTTTTCTCACCTGTATCGAATATTCGAAGTCCTATCGAGTTTCGAACGCAAATAGCGAATCATAACGAAGAGATTATATGAGAGAAGAAAGAGCTGGCTGTTGTCCATTTTGACCCACTTTGGCCCGGTAATCTTCATTAAATTATTTCATATTCGCACACGAGCGTTATCTGCAGTTGAATAAGTTACATAATTCCAGTTATTTCGACTAATTCCGCTTATTCCGAGTAATTCCGCGTTCGCGGCGTGATGACGTAGAAAATGAACATTAGAGAGCGTCTAAACGTACACGCGCGAGTGATCGCCGGGTTTACTCACACGCGTGAACGACGTTAATCACGTCAGTGGTGCGATGTATTATAAATATTAAACAAATTTTGTCGTAAACGCAGGTTGTGGAGCGTTCTAAGTGGCATTATATCGCATTCATACGCCACAAGTTGTTTGCTGCAACAATTTGCCGCTCGCAATTAACCGCCGGCGAAAAATCGTAGGCGACAAAGTTTCGCAGCTTTGCGAGACTGCTTTCTTGTTTTCTTTTTTCCCCGCGCGAGTATTTAATTAAAACGGGGCATATCTGCATAAAAATTCCAGACTAAAGCGTGGCCCGTATATTCACGAAAAATGGCTATCGCTATTCAATTGATTAAAAAACTTTTTCGTTACTAAATGGTGCGAGGCTATTCGCGCTGCGCTCGCGCGCGTACACGTGTGTATGTACGTGTGTGTGTGTATGTGTGTGTGTGTGTGTGTGTGTGTGTGTGTGTGTGTGTGTGTGTGTGTGTGTGTGTATCGCACAACGGGTGTCCTGCGTAATAATATATGTTCAAATGAAAGAGAAACCACCGGTCTATTGAATAAAAGGTCATTTCTGAATAAAGCTAGTGCTGAATAAATAAAAGAGATCGCGTTGCTGGATTCAGTGGATTTTCGGCTTTTGGGCGCCATAAATCCTGCATTAACTAGATTCGCGTCGAGATAAATCCGGTCTGTCGGGACGAGAAAGAGGGAAAAGATAACCAAATATACTTGTATATTATTTCGTTGTAATATTAAGAGAGAGAGAGAGAGAGATAGATAGATAGATAGATAGATAGATAGATAGATAGATAGATAGATAGATAGATAGATAGATAGATAGAGAGAGAGAGAGAGAGAGAGAGAGAGAGAGAGAGAGAGAGAGAGAGAAAGAGAGAGAGAGAGGGAGGGAGGGAGGGAAGGAGGGAGGAGAGAAAGAGGGAGAGACGTAAACTATACACTCGCCTGTCACAACGATCTATCGTCCTGCCAAGACGCCACACGGGAAATTTCCGGCGCGATTTTACTCAACTACCGACACCGTTAATTATTGCGCAAGCAGCAATTAGGATTCAGATCGTACGCGCTCGATAGACCGCTCGCGATCGCTTTGCACTTGCGTGCAGTGCGTAAGCCCATTTGTATTTATAGCAGCTGCACGCCTCACTGAGCACTATTGTCGCGGACAATGAAACCAGTTCGTACGGACGATGGAAAGGAACTGGACGCTCTTCTGCAGATAACAGCGCGACTCCGTAAAGTACAAACGAGCCAAGAAAATTGTCTTCAGTGTGAGGGAAGGAAAGAAAGATAGAGAGACAGAGAGAGAGAGAGAGAGAGAGAGAGAGAGAGAGAGAGAGAGAGAGAGAAAAAGAGAGAGAGAGAGAGTAAGCAAAGACGTGGGAGAACAAGAGGATGAGAGAAAAAGAGAACGACCGTTGAGAGGGGGGCGAGAGGCGGACGTCGCATGATTAAACGGCGTTATATCGTCGCGATAAAATCGACGGTTACATCGATACAGATCGCGTGTGCGTAACCGACGGTGTATTATTAACGAAACAGCGTAATATGCTCGGGCACCGTAATTGGCGCGGCGCGGACATCTGACAAATGGCTTTTAACGTTGCGCGTATTTGTATACTGTAATTTATTATATTTCCGTTGCACACGAGAGACGAGAACGCGCTCGCACGGTGCAACGCGCAACCCGCTAATAGAACGAGGACGGAAAAAAGGAGGGAGGGGGGGGGGAAGAAAAAAAGAGGAAGAAACATTATACTTTCCGCTCGCTATTGGCCGTGTTGTAATTTACAGCGAGCTGTTCGCGCGCGCGGGCGGGCGGGCGGGCGCGTCCGTTCGCTTCATCGTGACGGCCGTAAATTTCAATTTAAATGCGCGCGGCGTCGTTCTCGCGCTCGCGTTGATTCGCGCCGACTTCTAATTCGTATTTAAATCACGACAAATCGCGTATGCGCGAGCGGCAACCGAACGGCAAATCGGACGTGATGGTTTTGCGCGCGACAGCCGACACGGGGCGCGCGCACGAACGAGATCCGTCTTACGACGTTATATTTATCCGCTTCATTTGCAGCTCGCGCGTCTCCGTGTCTCCGCGCGAATGTTTCAATCGCGCACACCAACGGCCGCCTGGCCGCCCTCCTCGTCGTGGCCCGCTTCGCCGCGGAAGCGCGCGTCGCGTCATGATTGTCTCGCGATTAAAAAGCAATCGAGACGCTCATCGATTATACGGATCGCTGAACGTGACTTACCCCGGTAAGTGCGGAATCAGCCCGGAAGTCAGCGATTCTCCGGAACCAAGCCTCGGAGAGAGAGAGAGAGAGAGAGGTGCCCTCTGGAACCAATAAAAAAAAGAGATTAATAACTCTCAGATTATAAGAGTTGAGCGATTTCAATGCATCGACTCGAAGCGATCAATTCCCCGCGCGCTGGGAATCGTGCGAAGGAAAGGCGAACCGAGCCCCTCTTGAGACTCGCGTCAAACTCGGGACTCGGGACTAGTGATGGGCAAATATCGATCGATGAAACAAGCCAATCGATTTTTATTTTCTTGAAAAATCGATCAGCAGACCGATATTTTTGGGGCCGATTATACCCTAGATCGATTATTTTTTTCGTCGATTATATTACTAGATTTGTTACTAAGTTTTTATCACTAGGGAATTTGTTTACTACTATTAAGGCCCGTCTGCAATAGCTGCGAAAATAAAGCTGTAGCAGTAAACAGTAAAAAATAAAGCAACACAACAGTCGACTATTATAAGAAGAACCGACTTTAATTGGTTTATTTCTTGTAGCTTACGCTTATAGCCTTATTCTTGTACAAGCTTATGCTTGCAGCCATTGTGAAAGGATCTTTAAGGTTTTAATAATATATTAATTTATTGTTGCAGCATGTAACTCTTCACATTAATTTAAAATAAACTTAATTAATAATGAACTTAATTGAAAATAAACTTAATTAATAATAAACTCAAAAATAAATACTTTATTAAAATTATAAATAAAGGGAAACATCGATTATTATCGATATTCTTAAGAAAATATCGATTATGCAAAAACGATTTTTTTGATAATCGATTAAATCGAAGACGATGCTTTTTTTGACGAAGCCCATCCCTACTCGGGACTAAACGCGCGCGCTCGGAACACGGATCGCACACGGCCGATGAGTCGGCGCGTTGAGGCGCTCAATGAGCCAGCCCGGCCGCGGCGGTTGACGATTTTCAGCAGCTCTCTCCCGCGAGCGAGAGCGCGCGTGTTGGAATCGCTCTCCGCCAGCGAACGCGCGCGCGCTCCCGGGGCGTGTGAGTGCTGACTCTGCGCGTTTCAAACGATGAATGCGCTCATTGTTGTCCCCCGCCATTCACGGCGATACGCACACGCGTGGCGCGCGAGAGCGAGAGCGAGAGCGAGAGCGCGCGAGAGCGAGAGCGAGAGCGAGAGCGCGCGACAGAAGTTCGGGGAAGCGAGCTTCTCGCTTCTCTCGTACGGTGAATCGACGTATTCGATCGCGCGACGATAACGACACGGCCGATCGCTTCCTCGCCTTCGCTCGCGACTCGGCGGTTTTGCCGCTCGCGAGATTCGAGGGACACCCACACTAGGAAAAATGTATTGTTGCGTGAACCAAAATTTTGTTGTAACAACAAAATAATTTGGTTAAAATATGCCCAACAAAACTGTCTAGTTCCTGTAAACAAATATCTTGTTTGATTACGGTTTGTTCGTGTAACGTAATACTTTTGTTATAGCAACCAAAAAGCTTCAACTATATGAATTTTGTTAAAAATACTATAATTTTTTCTTAATATATAAAATCTGAATTTTAGTGCACAGAAAGACACAGGAATAGTATCCATTGGGCATTATTTTAGTTTATGTAAAATAATATTTCGTCATTATGTAATTTTTATGGATAAATTAACTAAAATGCTTAATTTTTATATATGAAGTCTAGAAGAACAAAATCATTTGGTCCAGAGAACAAAGCAGAAAAATATATTTAGTTGAGACAACTAAATGTTTTGTTATATAAAACAAGATATTTGGTTGCTATTAAAAAATGCCTCAACTAAACGGTTTTGTTAGAGAGACTAAAATTTTTTTTTCCTAGTGCACTCGTGGGAGTTCGAGCGGTTCGAAATATTTCAAGGACGGGTGTCTGTATTTTTTTTTCGTCCTTTTTTGTCCTCCGACGGGACTCTTGCCCGCCTTAACAATGTTTCTACAGTGTCGTACAGCGGTTTCACGAGCGCGATACTCCGAAAGGATGACGCGCGTCCGGAGATCATGAGTGGGCAAGGACAATGTCGCGCGCGATACGTCTCGAGCGAGAGACGAAATGAGCGACTACTAATGACGACGACGACGGCGATCGATTGACGCTCGCCGGAGCAGCGATTCCGCGCGGGGTGTACATTTTTTCTGGTCATTGCGCAAATTTATAACGGCAGAAGTCATAAATCCACGCTGCACAATGCGTTCGATCCTCAGATTATTAATGGCGCCGAACTTTGTATTTTTCAGATCGGCACGCGCGTGTTCCTCCGCCGGTGGCCGGATTCCGACGTGTTAGTACACACACACATACACACACGCACGCCATTATTTATAACGCGCGTAACGCGGAATTATTTATCGCTCAATTGCGAGAGCCGGCCAAGCCAAGGTTCGCGGACGCGGCCGGCGCGGCGCGGCGCGGCGGGGCGGGGCGGGGCAGAAGGTGTCGGTGCGTACCTGGTTTAACCTGGAAATTCCTGGAAATTCAATCGCGTTTCATGAACTTTTATTCGTTTTCACGGCTCGTCCGCGGCGTATCTTACCGTTTCTACGCACAGCTCCCATTACCGGCGATTTATCACGCGCCGAGTGAAATGTTAAGTCCGCCGTCCCCGTGCCGTCCACGTCCGGGTCGCGCGCCACGCCGATGCTCCTCGTACGGTTTCTCCGATCGTCCGTATGTCCCGACTAGAAATGTTCATCAGGTACGCCTGATATTGACGAGGGCCTAATAGGACCAACGGAAGTCAATTCTAATCAAGTCAGACTTTATAATGTCCTGATGATGATTGAGTAAGGAAGACATCAGCGAGGTTACAATGATTGGATCTTAACGTAACAACTTAGTGTATCATATAAGGGCCGTGAAAAAGAGTAAAGTCAACGGGGGTGGGGGTGGGGGTGGGAGGGGGATGCTCCGAAGTCCGAAGGAATCACGAAAGTGCGATTCGAGTGTTCGAGCACGACGCGTCTTTTCGGCGAGTCGACGCTCACTCCATGCGCGCGCGCGCTCGCCGAGTCTGCCGATGTAATTCGCGGGGAAATGTTTACGGTACACTCGATGCAGTAAACAGTACTATTCCTCACGCAATTTGATTTTAACTGCGCCCCGAGTTTCCGCGGGATAAGAGCGCGCCGCCCGAAGTTAACCCCCGAGGCAGTTTCGAAACTGAGTTTCCATATTCTTGCTCGCTCGCTCGCTCGCCCGTTCGCTCGCTCGCTCGCTCGCGCTGTGCAATTTGAAGGAGTGGACGAGCGTTGTTTATAAAGTCCGGACAAACGTGCCACGATATTACACCGTCTGAGAACCCGGGCGTCCGGACAACGGCTCTGAATCGTCCGAATCGTGCGGATTTCGGCAATTTCGCCGAAATTTCGCGGGCCGCTCGTAATAACTCGCACAGAGGAGAATCTCTGTCCCGGAGCGTCTAATTAGCTCCGATTTCCTGACTGGACGAATTCCAGACTCGGGCTGAGAAATCAGATTCGTGCCGATTTTACGCGGCAAAAAGTCTCCGCGTTATTTCTCTCCCCGTCTCGGGGCAGAAGGCTGCCATTATCGCGCGATTTAGCAATTCTTTGCTTACGCTCTCCAGCTCCTGACCCCCCCTCCCCGCTTTCCCCTCTCCCCTCTGCCCCCTCACTCCCTGCGCTGCAAACTTAGCTACCGCGAAAATCAGCTGTTTTTTGCGCAGCGCAGGCCGCGCGATCGCCGTTAATTAATTCAGGCGGGAAGCCAAACCGAGTATGGACATCGGTCCGCACACTCCAGTGACATATAAAGCGAGAGAGAGAGAGAGAGAGAGAGAGAGAGAGAGCCGGGACAATTAATTAACCAAAATGGCTCCGGTGAGGCTCAGAGGTGCATTGTTGCAGTCGGCGGCGTACATCGGCCATTGTTAGTCGCGGGCCGACTCGAAAGCGCGTCCTTGTTTCCGCGTCCTTGCACCGATACAGATTTCCTGCGAGCCTGCCGAATACTCTCCAACGTCTCGGCGCGGAGGAGCAGAAGGAAGAGGAGGAGGAAGAGGAAGAAGAGAGGAAGCTTCTTGAGCGGTGCGACGAGCGTTCTCGCGCACGACATTGCGAAGCGGTGAGGCTGAGCTATCAATTACGCGATTATTCTCGTGATTTGCCGGCCGCGGTGTAATTGTTGTGTCTTACGGCGGCCCAGGTGAATTACAACGCGACGAATTGCACCGCGAGGACGCGCGGGCGATTTGCGATAATTATCCGCCCGCTCGTCCGTCGTTCGCGTCCGATCGTGACCGGCGAGGTGTGAGCGTCGACAGCGTCGACGCGAGCGATTGACGACGGCGAGGATTGCGCCGAGGTGGAAATTGGGAATATCAACGAGGACTCGAATGACGACACGGGCGGCTCGATTGCGTCGACCGTTGCACATTCTGTTTGTGTCGCTCCTAAGCTTTCGGTTAATTCGTCCGTTAACGGGGCGAGATTCGCTCGCGCGGCGGCAACTTTTCCCCGAGGGATGCTGTCGAGATCGAAGACCTCCTGCTTTCAAGCGTAAGACTGAATGTCGAAAGAATCCGCAAGCGAGTATGAGACTGAAAGACGATATCTTTCCTAGATCATCTCCGTATATTCCCGAGACCTAATTTTCGTTGATTTCGAGATGCCACAATCTTGAGCCCGCTTTTAAGACGTCGGTTTGAAGAATCGACGTTTGATTCGGCTCACTGCAATCGAGCACACTCCCCCCTCCGAGATGCACTGCTCTGTGTACGTGAAATTTCCAGGCTTTTCCCACCGAGATCGAAAGGAAAACGTGCGCGCGTGCAAGAGAGAGAGAGAGAGAGAGAAAGAGAGGTGAGAAAACGGCAATTCGAACGCGCATTTCCAGCGCCGGCAATTTAATCAGCGATATCGCGCAACCTCTCAACCTCTTTCTCTCTTTCCCTCGACAACGCCTGTTCGCTACGAACGAACGAATTCGGCGAATTACGCCAGCGGAATAATTTGAAAACTCCATCGGATCCAAAACGAAGTGCAGGAGGAGGAATCGGGCAGGGTGCCGGCCGGAAACTCCCG